TAAAAGTTACTAGATCAAAATCTAAGTGAATGTAAGCTCTCTCTGGTATCTGACTGCATAAGAACACCAGAGAAAACCTTCTTTATACATAAAATTTTCAAACAGATGCTGCGGAGTGAAGGTGCTTCCATTGTTCCCTACTTTACAGGGATGCTGGTGAATAAGCACAATTTTATCTACTTTGGGAAAATACTGCTTCCAAAGACCCAAAGGGAAAAAAGAAGGTATCTCAACATAGGCTGAAAATTTCTTACCTGTGGATAAGATCTAGTTCACAGGAACGTTTAATAAGAAAAAATTCTTTGTTGTTAGAAGCAGAATATAAAAGTACTACTATTATAAAATTTGTCAATGGTGGTAAAGTAGGCAAATAAATGGAGGGCACCAAACAGACTCGAAACACCTAAATACAATTATTAAAGAAAATTGGAATTGTTATATAAATTACAATATGCCTAAACATTTATCTAAAACAAAATGAAAACAAGTCAATTAACTAAATGTTTTTTTGCCTCCAGTATTTCTATACTTCAGAAACATGAGCACATAGGCCTGCCCTGCATCATGGAGAAAATACAAGTGAGTTAGAGATCACTGCAAAGCAAAATAAGAAGGAGCTTCAAAGTTCAATGAAAAGTTTGGAAACAAATTTTAAAGACATAAAGATGCACATTTTACATCCTCACAAATCTTAACTTGAGAATCTGGGTCTATGTCCCATTTTGTCATTAATTTGTTTTATGATCTCGGACAAATTATGTGGTATTCTTTCTGTGTTAAAATTTTATGATTCCATGAGAACTTTCGACAAATAAAAGAAAGAAATACTCATATAAAAACTGTCTTTGTAGTCTTCCTTTCTCAAACAGCAGGTCTTGTAAAATCTCTTTTGGTATTTCCCATAACCTAGACCACATTTAAATGAAAAACTACCAAACCCAAGATTCTTAAGCTAAGAGAAAAAACAAACGTATCTTTACTAAGCAATCTGATCCAAGAAACACTAATTCTGAAATCTGTGACTGTTCCATTTAAATGTTTTTATGCAAAATAAGCATTTAATTCACAAGTGTATGACAATGAAGAATTATATCATTTTCTCTAGGTCTTTTATTATTGAGTTTATAGAAACCATTAATCCTTGAGTCCCATTACAGCAAAGTCAAGTAAAAGCTGAATGTTAAGTAGAGACCAACAGAAAAATCAACATAATATGGTCTGATGAATAAATATACTAGGCCCTGAAGACAAATAGCAATAAACAAGGAAAAATTTAGGCTAGATAGCAATTACATTGAGGAGATGTTAACAGGTCACAAAGAGGTTCATTCCTAGGTGATACATAATTAATAACTATAATGAAAGATAGTTCTAAGTTGGGCTACTATATAAAACTGGACTGGAGAGATATACTATGAAACTATGGAAGACTTGTCTCCCTATAGTATAATTTTCTCTTATTTTTCCTCAAAACCACATTTCTGAAATTCTCCAGGAAAGATAACATTAAAGGTTAGCAATACAAGCAAACAGAAAGCACGAGGGAAGTATATTTAGTATTGTTATTTCTACAAATTTAGCAGCCTGTAAATGGGAAGAATAGAAAGACTTCTGCATGGGGCTTTATTATAGTGATTTTAGTGCTTAAAGGCAAATATCCTAGGAGAATTAGTAAGAAATATTATTTCATATCTCTGAACTGCTCATACTTAAAAAATGGACTTCAGAGTCCAACAGAGATGGTTTCACAAACTTGGTCCATTTGCTGGGTAACCTTGGATATATCACTGAACTCTTCTAAATTATGATAATTTTCCCTAATAAAGGTGTTATAAGAATTAATGATAATATAAATTAGCATGTAATAGAGACTAGCACATAATAATCGTTAAGTAGTAGCTATCACCAGTCATCGTCAAGGAGGCCTTACACTTATGCTATAATGCATATGAGAGTATATGTGTATATCTGTAGAGCATAAGCGAAAGCCAAAACATCCAGGTCTCACGAGACAATTTTACTTAAAATTACAATTCATCTGAACTCATTTATACAACTAAGGGAAAGGAAACTGCCCCAAATGATTAAATTATCCACACAAAGTAGAAATTATTATTGATAGTAAAACTCAGAAGACTATAAAACTTAAAACTCTCTAAGTTTTAGTTAAGATTCTACCAGAGATTTGGGACTGAATGGAAAAGATCGCTCATTTGCTATCACTACAATGAAAATGTCAATACTAACCTTAGGTAACAAATTACATTCTTAAAAAATCTTTCTGCTTATGTTCAGAGGTTTGAGGGAGAAACAAAGGCATTCTTGGAGATCACCTTAGATTCCAGGTTGAGTCCAAGCAAGCCTCTGGCCTTAAAGGGGCTAGCTTCTAGACTCAGAAGTGCTGCCTAAAATAAGATGAATTATGCGAAACATTAAGTGGACTGTAACTGTCTTCCCAAAATAAATGAAGATTCCACTATTTCAGAGATCAGAAACTACCCTCATCTCTGAGTGGTTGACAGTGTAAGCAGGAACAAATTAATAATGCATCTTACCTATCTTCCTGTGAATTCTTTCCAGATCGCCTCTTGTTTTTAGCTTCTCGGGGAGATGATCGAATTTTCTTAGTTGGAGGGCCCGAATCTCTTCCATAATCTTCATCTAAACAGAACATTTCTCAACTTCAATGAACTATATCATTTTTACAAGATGAAATTACCACTACACTTACTGAGATAATTCTCTCTCATGTTATTTAAACAGTGAAGGGGCAGGAATTCCCAACTTTTCTTTATTACAAAAAGTAGATCCTTCTGTCCCAGTTCTACCACCTTAACTCAATCATTTCCATTTTTGCATATTATTCACTAGTCCTCGTGTGTGTGTGTGTGTGTGTGTGTGTGTGTGAATTCCCTTATCCTCCCTTATCCTCCCTCCCCAGTTCCACCCCTGAACTATGGATATTGCTGGCTCCACTTAAGAACTGGATCTCTGAAGGCGGGGTGTCTCCTCCCACGCACTTACAGTGCGTACTCCCCGCCCGGCGCACCCAGGACCTTCTGTGTGTAAAGCAGACATGCTAACCACTACACTATGGAGCCACCCCCTCATGTGTATATTTTAATATAGCCATAGCCAAATCTCTTATCATTTTATATCTTACCATTTTATTAAAAATTTCCCACATTTCCATATCTTCATATTTCTTTGAAAATTATTATAGTACTAAAGAAAACCGACCCACCTTAAAAGGTGATTATTTCCAAAACTGTTTACTACCCCATTATATACAAGGGTGAAGATATGGTAGTCTGGAGCTTCAGCAATTATTAAATGGCTGGATATATTATAAGTTCCATTATGGAATTTCATATGATCATTAATAGGAATTTTTCAAGTAACTCTTAATAACGAGAAAGATACTCATAATTAGGGGTGGGGTGGGAGAGTGAAAGAACCCAAAAATTCTATAGCAAGGCTTAAACTACATTTTTAAAAGGGAAAAAAAAAAGTCAAAAAGCTTTTTCAACAAAATGGTTAAAAATGGCCATTTGCAGGTTAAAGGACCTTGAGTAATATCTTTGCCTCAGTTTCCTCATCTATTTCCTTAAAATGGAAATAATAATAATAATAATATATATATATATTCCATTTTAATGGGATTGTTCTGAAGATTAAATGAGTAACTACAAACATTTAGCAAGCATTTAAAAAATGTTAGTACTCCCACTGGGAGGTTGGATTATGTTACTGTTTTTATCCTTCTTTATATACTTCTCCATTTTCTAAGTTTTCTCAAAGTGTACATATTATCTTTATAAAGTAATATTAGACTAAAAAAAAATTAATGCATCTGGAAAATAATGAGATTAGGGATATATTCTAAAGAAACCTTTTATGGCTAAGATTTAAGATACACTACTCCGATGATTAATCAGTTCACAAATCAAAGTGGTTTCACAAAATACTTTCATCTTATTTTACTATGCAAAAAACTAAAGTATTCCCTATTATAAGATCCAAGTTTTAACTGTGATTACAGCAGGATATATATTAACTAGTAAACACTGCATCAGAATTACTGCACATTTAAACTTTAGACTCTAAAAGCAGGTAAGAAAAAAATTATTCACGTGTTTACATCAATGATTCACTAAGTTAAAGTTAAAATCCTTGCAAGTTCAACTTTTGTTTTGGGTAACAGAGATCTTGATGCAACTTACATACATAAATAGTCTAAAAATAAAAAATAAATAAAACTTACTCCAAAAGCATGATAAAAAAAAGTATATAAACTGGTGATTGTTTCACTAGTACGGCTCAACTTATAGAAATCACAAAACTTACCAGCATCGTCAGATTCCTGAAACTGTGAATAATCAACGACCTTCCTATTTCTGTAGAAAGAGATTCTTATTAAGACCATAAAAATATATGAAAGACTTTTCTAAGATATTAGAACACACTTCTTTTTCATAAACAGAATGAGAACTAGCTCTCTGAAAATTATTTTTCAACGAGCTCTCATCTCAGCCAAAAAACTTCACTTTGTTAAGCCAAAAGTATTTAAAACTACAATTCTCATATTGCTCATCTCAGTGATAGCTCAAATACTATTCTTTCCTACAAAACAACCTCCCACCTCCCAAAACACACACACAAAACAGCAATATGAGCCAAGCTACCATTTGTATTCATTATACAGATGTCACATGTGCACAAACCAAAACTGTAAATGTTATTTTTCTTATTGCTATATACAAATATACATGTATACCTGATAAACAAGGTATTACTGAATTTTTTCCAAGACAAAGTGATTTTTAAATATAATATAATTACATTATAATATACATATTACAATGACAGTAAGTTAATAAAAAAAGGAGAAGAAAAAAATGATCCATTCAAAAGATGCTTTTTATTATAGGGTCTGTAAGAAAAATATGAGAGTTCCACAGATCAATGTATCTACTTGACTTGATGTTAAGTACTTCCTACTAGGAAAGACATTTTTTTAAACATCTCGAACAAACATTAATTTCTATTTTCCTACTTCATATTCGAAATCTATACAAGTTTATAATTCCTCCTCTAGAGATACATAAAAGCTTCCATGTAAGTATCTAGATAGCCTGGCTTTCCAAAGTACCTTAGATGCACTGTAACTAGATAGTGAAGAACAAGTGAACTGAAAAGATTAAGAGAAACATGCCATCATTAAACCTGAGTAGAGGGATATTCCTGGTTTTATAGATTAAGACACCATTTAAATTCAAAGACAGAATGGGCAGAATTCAAGCACAGGTACATACAACATGCAAAATGATAGGAGTAGAGGTGAATTCTGAAAACATGTTTGAGGCTTAGCTGTGGAAGGTACAGCCACACCCTTGGCTTTAGGAAAACTTTGAACCCCAAAGTTTGCCTTGTTTTGCTTTAGGAAAATCTACCAACAATGAATTATCTTTTCAATTGATTGCCTTAATGAGCCAAAATGCAAAACTATAAAGTATGCTTTAACTACAGTTGACCTGTGAACGATGTGCGCTTGAAATGCACAGGTCCACTTATACGTAGACTTTTTATTTTGTAAACATGACATAAACTTAGGATATTGATACAGTACCTACTGTAAATGTACTTCTCTTACTTTATTGTTAGAATACAGCACTATAATAATATACAAGGGTAATAATCGATTGTTTATGTTACCAGGAAGGCTTCCAATCAACAGTAGGCTATTAGCAGTTAAATTTTAGGGGAGTCAAAAGTTATATTCGGATTTTTGACTCTGTGTCTGTGTGTGCATGTATGTATGGGGGGGGGTCTGTACTCCTAACTCCTGTGTTGTTCAAGGACAAACTGTACATGTTTGTTACAAGCCGAGTTTATATATCAAAGATACCATTCTATTAGGAAAGTTAATTTAAGAAATGACTGTTAATTCCACTTAAATAATGTATCTAGAGTAGTCAAATTCATAGAGACAGAAAGAATGGTGGATGCCAGGAGCTGAGGTAGCGAGAATGGGGAGTTAGTGGGATATACAGTTTCAGTTTTGCAAGAGGAAGAGTTTTGGAGGCTGGTGCACAACATGTGAATGTACTTAACACTACTGAACTGTACACTTAAAAACTGTTAAGACGGAAAATTTTATTTGAGCATAATTAAAAAAATAAAAATATTTTTCTAAAAAAAGTGGGGGAGGGGCTAGTGATTAAATGTCTATCATGTCCTAGCAAAACAGTGATTTTTAATGACAGATGCCATGAGAAACAGTGTTATGATCATAATGCAAAGAATGGGACATGGAACCAGGGGAAGTAAAGTATCCAGAAGAGGAAGTTTTAAATCTTAATCTCTAATAATTAATGTACAGGTTCTGAAATTGCAGGCATAATTATTTTAGCTTAATTATTTGATGCTGGTGGGATAACCACTAAAGTACTGGTAAAATTTCTGGGTACCATAAATCAATAGGTACATCCTTTGAGACTATATAAAGGTAACTAGAATGGTGAAGTGTATATCATATGAAGAACAATTAAATAAACTAGATTTTTAACTCGAATAAGGGAAAACACATTAGCCACTTTAGGGCTTTGAAATGAAAAGTAGTAGTAAACAAACCTGCTTAGCTTTGGTTACCAGATTAAGAGTGGGTTGAACATAAAGAACTTTCTAACAGTATGTCAACGATAGTTACTTTCTTAGTGTATCACTAGGGAACACTCCAAGAAAGGAATTATACAGTAAAAAGTACAGAATCTTAGTAAGGAATTCTGAGTTCTGATTCCAGAACTTCAAGCAAATCACTTAATTTCTCTGGGCCTCAGACCTTCCTCTGTTGAAACTGATGACATAAATTGCTGACATATCTAAAAAGTTATTCTGTAAAGTTAAAAATTATTAAAGTTTAATGAAAAAGATGACTTTTTCAATTGCAAACAGTCAACTACCTTTTTGTATGCCACACAGCTTAACGTATCACTGCACCATTTTTCCTTCGCTAATCTGAGCTTCCTGAAGGTAACAACCATATTTATACCCACATTTCTGGTACAGTGCGAGGTAAAAAAAAGCACAAATGTTTTCTGAACTTTTTGTTCTTAGGGCCAAATTTAAGAGTTCTTTTAGAAATCTAGTTTTATAAGATACTTTAGAGGATAATATTTCATCTCAAAGTCTCTTCTCTTGCCACTTAAAAATCGAGCAACTTGGAACTTTATAATTTCTCCAATCACGTTGTTTCTTACCATTCGGTCATGCTGCTCCTTGGCCTAGAATGCTGTTCCTATCACTTCCACTCTTATTAGATACAATTTCACTTCAAAACCTTTAATCCCTTGATACTATATAATCTACAAAATATCCGTCTTATTAAATCGAATTTCTTGAGGATAGGAACTGTCTCTCCATTCAGAACACCAAATTCAAGAGATGCATTTCATGAATGAATGGATTTGGCATCTGCAAAGGATTTGGGTGGGAATGGGGATCAGTAGAGGATGTATGTGCAACTGGAGTTTTCAACCTATCAGACATTTAATTTCCACTACCCTTAAGGACAAAAGAAAATTTAGTTTCTTCCATACTAAAGAACTTGTTACTTTACATCTAAGAAATTTAAAAGGCAACTATTTAGTACATTTTTTCTATCCCAGTTTTCAAAAAGAACTACAAAAATGCCATGTAGACTACAGTGACGTTATATGAGCAATTAAAAACTTTCAAAATCAAATTGGAAGACTACTCCTTCCTTTGAAACACAAAATATTTTAACTTCAAATGATGTGAAAATGGCCAGAATTATCTTATATAATACACGTCAGTTATGACAAAACTATAAAACTTGAGTAAAAACAAAATATGAATATAGAAGCAATATTGTCTTATGGGTAACTAGTAAAAAAATGCATCCATTTATAAATGCTAAAGAGACAGAAGAATAATTTAAATAAAAGTTCTGTGAGAACAGGTTTCATTCACAATGTCAGTTAGTTATAATAATAGTTTGGGTCATTGCCTGCCTTCTAAAGCTGCTATTCAAAACATACTACTTCTACTATTTGGAGATTTACCTTATTTAGAGTTGAAACACATTTTTGATGAACATATTCTTACATAGACTGGAAATTGACAAGATAGTCTAGGATAGAAGCACAACACTTAAGAGCAACATTTAAGTCTAAGGGCATGGCAAGTTCTACTCCTAGTGGAAAATAAACATTCCTACTTCCTCAAAATACCAGTACATAAATTAAATGCCAAAGCTAAATACACTCTTCAGTGTAAAATGAGCATCAGCTAGAACTGGGAGGACAAAACAAAATTTGAATACAGCATAGAGGTTAAAAAACAGATTTTTGAATTGGGTTTAAATCCTGGCTCTGTCATTTACTAGCTGTATGTCCTTGAGCAAGTTATTTCCCCTGTAAAACAGCAATAATACCTAGCTCTTAAGATTGTTGTGAATGCCAGGTACACAACCATATATCCAATAGACAGCTGCTCTTATACTTGTAAGCACTAACTTGTTCTACCCAGAATATCACTAAATCTTGAACACTCTTGAATAACACTCCTAATTATTTGAATGTGATTAAGTCATTGCTTAAAAATATGTCTGTCTTAGAATATTGGTTCTAGAACCATTCAGAAAGAACATCTTAAAAGGTTTACTGCTTATTACATTAAAATGCAATACCAAAATACCCCCCTTTTAAATATTATTTTCAACTTTATGATAAAGTTTGCAGATTAACATTTAGGTCAGAGGAAATAACTATTCTAAAGCCACCAGACAAATTAGATCAATTTTTATCACTCAAATCAACTGGAGTTCCAGCTAAAGAAGTCTAAAAGCCTGCACTAGAAAGAACTGTAACCTAGCAAGGAAAACCAATGTTTAAATAAAAAAATAGGAACACAAAATCTTCAATTATGTGCCTGTTCTTACTTTAAAAGCTGATACAATCTATCTAGATTTTAAATGTAGCTTAGTCACAAGGGACCCATTCCTGGATGGTCACCAGAGAGCTTAGATGCGAAGTCCCACATCTATATCAGTTTAGAGTGCAGAGAAGAAAGGTAGTGGGAAGCTAGACAACATGAAAAGATCTGCCTGAAGTACCAAAAGCTGATAACTCGAACAGTTCAGAAGTAATGATTTTTTTCTTCCATTCTCAATCATCTTCTATCTACTAAATACTGACAAGTCTGCTCCCAAATGCTTTTTCTTTCTTATAGCAGCAACCATCTTATACTAACACATGAATGATGTTCCTGAAATGTGAGGTGTAAAACCAACATTCTGAAGCATCAAGAATTACAGTATTTCAGACAGAAATTACCATACCTTTGAGATGCTCTCATCTGACCTCTTAACTTTACA